AGTATGTTGAGCTTAACACGGCCTGGCCCACTGCTCCTGCTCTCCATAGGCGTTCCCGCGAGGGAGCCGGCGTGGAGAAGGGCAGCGGGAGTGGGAAGGACCTGGCGCCGTGTCACTGGGTGCTCCTYGAGGCTTTGCAGAGCAGGGACCCAGGGGCACTTGGTGCTTAKCCTCCCATCGCCCGGCTAAAGGAAGCAAAGGCCATCGGAAAGCGCGTTGCTTTCCAGGGAGCTTTCTGCAGGAACTGGCTTTCCCACCGCGGTTCTGAATGGAGAAATGAATAAAAGGCAGCAATAAAAACCCTGCCAAAGTTTCCACAGGGGCTGGGTGCTGAGATTCAGCTCCTTGCAKCACTGAGGCCCTGCACGAGCCTCCCTTGGGTGCTCCCACGTTGCCTGGCTCAAGGACCAGGGTGCAAATTCTAGGCTCAGCTTTTAAAGATCTGGTTTAGAGAGGCAATAAAGATAACAGCTGGAGTAGGAGACGCGCTGCTGACAAAATGCTACAACACTTCGATACCCAAAGCGGGGAGCTCAGAATTATCCTTTTCACATATTTCCTAAAGGGTCAGCCTTCCCAGTGCTGCTCCGGATCATGAAACACCTCGGCCAGCTGTTCCCTCTGGGAACAAGGCTCCGCTTCGCAGGTTACCTGGAGTGCCGGGGCGGAAGGAGCAGGGATGAGGGGACGCCGTGAGGAGGATCCTCATTACTTTTGGAAAGAGTTATAAAAAGCAGGCATGAAAGTGTGTCCTAAATACAAGGAYTGCGCTGATTGAGAGCTCCCCCGCTTCTATCTCTCGGGTAATCGCGAATACGCTTCTGCCGTGTCACTTCAAAGGCTCGGCACAGCTGGGAGGGTTCTCATCAAAGCTGCTGCATGTCTGGGGGAGGCTTCCCCCCCATGAATATACATCACTGGAGGCTCCTTTTCCCAGCTTTTCCCATGCCTGCYGCTGATTGATCCTCATTTCATTCAGATGAGCTCTTCCTCTCTGGATGGCTGAAGGGCAAGAGACAGCTCCCTGCGCAGCTTTCCCACTCGCCCGGGTGCCCCGCCGCGGATTTTCCTCCCGTTGCACTGGGGGAGGGCGGGAGGGAGCTGTTCAGACAAGAGATGGAGCCTTTAAATTAAATTCTTGTCATCTGCGGGCTGGGCCCGATAGCGGCGGGGGTGGGAAGCGCCTTCTCCCAGCGCCGGGACGCCGGCCAGGGCCTCCTGTGGCGTCGGCCAAGGGCCCCGGCTCCGCGCCGGCGGCACCCGGGGCTCGCGGGGGGCCCYGGCCGCTGGTGGCCGGCTGAGGCCAGCAGCACCCTCAGGACGCAGCCCCGCGAGGACGTGAGCAGGGAACGCTCGCTGAAATTGCTCAATTCYTCCTTTTTTTACAGCGAGGAGGGCGGGCCGGGAGCTTGGTGGCATCTCAAGCAGGTTGCACAAGGGCCCAGAGCCTCTCCGGAGCTCAGCCGGGAGCTCAGCCCTCCTGGAAAAGCTGCGCCTGATGCCACCTGCTCCCTGCACGTCCTTGGCTGGCGGCCAGGCCGAGCGCTCTGAGTCTCACCGTGGCGCTTCTGCTCTCCCTTCTCTCCCCGCGTGTCCCCTGGGAGCAAAACGAGCCCCGGAACCAGCAGGTCAGACAGTGCTGAGGCAATCGGGCACCCCCCGGCGCTGCTGCCAGAGCTGGCCCGTGCGAACGATGCGTCACTGCTGACTCTTGAAAACATTACGAATTTTCTATGCAATGAGCCATGGAAAAAAAAAAAAAACAGCCTCAGGGACTATCAGTGTCTGCCTGTCCAGAGATTCCCCYCCATCCAGGTGATTCCCACAACACACAGAGACCCTCTTGGCAGCAGCAGGGCAGTTTTGTCCAGCACCGTCCCGAGCGGAGCCGGCGCGGCAGCTCCCACCTCCTGAGCAGCCAGAGCCTGGAAACGCTGCGGGCAGCTCCGCGAGTCCCTCGAGGACACGYCCCCCTCGAGGGGACTCTGCCACCCCTGCGGTCTATGGATACCTAGGAATCCTGCCCTCCGGACTGTGACGGCCACTGGTGCCATGCGATGAGGATGGGGACAAGGACGTTCCTCCCGCAGACAGCGAGGGGATTTTCCCGCACCAGTCCCATGGACGGTTCGTGGCACCTGGAACGGTTTATCACTCCTTTCACCRGGGTGTGTGGCTGGATTTACTTTGACACAAGCCCCTTTCTGAATTGCAAGTTGGCAACAATGAWAGGGGAGAAGCCTTTAACGAGTTATCTGGTTAATTAACTTTTATGGCCCCGTATAGCTCTGGCATCCAAGCAGGGCGATGCAAAACATTGGGAGCACTCCAAGAAAGGCAGCCCTGGCAGCAGAAAGCTCCGCTGCTGCCCCCAGCGGCTGCGGGGGCATCGCATGCAACGGGCTCGGCCTGGCTGCGGGCAAATCCGGCCRGAATTGCGCCCTGCGCATCCCCAACACGTGGCTTTGGAAGCGGGCGGCCGCGCTGGCTCTGCGCTGTGCAGAGGAGGGTCACAGCCGGCTCCGTCCCGGAGCAACATCCTGGGCAGCAGGATGGGGGCTCCCCGGCCAGGACTCGGCCCCGAGAGGGCCCGGGCTGCCCCCACGAGCAGAACTTGCCCTGCGGACTGCGGCGGGCGGGCGGCCCTGTCGGAACACGCAGGGTCCCCGGCGCGTTTCCCACGCTGATCAGGCAGAGCAAGGGGTTTCGGGAGGCACGGTGCCCCCGGGACGTTCCTGTGTTTTTCTCTCTGCAGCTTGTGGGCTGCTTTACTCGGCGTGCACGGGAGTTTCGCCGTTCCTGCGTGTCCAGGCAAGCTCCGGGATGGCTTTGGGCAGGAACACAAAGGCCCTGGAAAGGGGAAGGGACCGGCTGCAAGCCAGGGAGAGAGGCAGTGGAAAAGGAGCTGCAGACTGGAGGGCCCCGAGCAGCATCCCGCACTCCCGGACACTGCCCGGAGGACACAAAGGGAAGGGACGGCCCCGGCCTCAGCTATGTCCTCTCCAACGTAATTTTGACTTGAAATGAGATTGATTTAACTTGCGACCTGCCAGGGTGCGATGGTCAGAGGAAACTGTGACACAAGTACAATCCCAGGCACCAGGCTCAGGGCTCTGGGGGGTTTCTGCCTTCCCTTAGCACCGAGGAGGAGGCTCCAAGCGCGGGCACCTCTCAAGCCGTGAGCCCGCGAGAAGACACCGCGCCAGCTACGGCCGCCCCGGACAGGCAGGGCTTGGATTCCTTTAAAACCCTGCCCCATAAGCAAAAATAAAGGTCATGAAATGATTTATAGCTCTTGTACGGGGAACATCTTATGTTTTTGTTTCTGCTTTTCAGACTCGGTTTAAACAAAAAAAAAAAAAAAAAAAAGAAGCCAGAGCCTTGCTCTTCTCTTCCCCTTGGTGACAGGCGGCCCAGATGCCTGTCTGGGTCAAGGGGACACTGCATTTTATTTTATCACCCAGCACTGCTAAACTCTGCAGTCTTTTTAACCTCTACATTCCCAACAGCAGGGGTCTTTCCTATGCTCATCCCACTGCTTCCACCCATCTGCTCTCCTAAAGCTTCCAGAAGAATTCTGCTCTTCCTAAACCTTCCAGAACCGGCTCCTGAAGCCAGAGACTCCCTGYGGCAGCCTGTGGGGCCGGGCAGAGCAAAAGGTAGGAAGAGAAAAAGCAGGGAAAGAGCAGTCCCTCGCTGTGCGGTGCCGGGAGCAGGAGACGGCGCTCCCGGCAGGAGCGGCCTCCGCGGCCTCCCTGCTCCGTGTCCTTCCAGCCAAGTCCCCCGGTGCCGTTGGAGGCCGGTTCTRTGCTCCACGCCCCTGCTGATCCCACCGAGCACAGGCCACGGGAGCGGCAAGGAAAGGGCGGCTTTTGTCCTATAGAAAACGTTCAAAAATCTTTCATCCAAAAACGGTGAGAGGAGATTTTCCAGTTTCCTCTGCCCACAGCCACGTAGGCCCCGCTGGGGCTGGGGGCGCTGGGCAGGGCAGAGGCGGCGGCGGTTTTGAGGAGCCGTGCCAGGTTTCGGGGCAGGCGAGAGCCGGGGGCTCGCGGTGACGAGCGCGGCTGCTGTGACAGGCAGCGACCCCTCGTGGCTCCGGCCCCCTGCCCGCCCGCTGCTCCCGGGACACGGTTTTCCCGGCGGGAAGACCCCGCAAGCAGCAACGAGGAGAACGGGCTGATTTAGAAGCCCTGGGTGCTCAAAGCAGAACCACCGGCGTGTTCCTAAGCGTCAACGCCACCCACCGACACAGAGCCCTCCGTGTGTCTGTGCAGAGCCGTAGCAGCTAGTGCTGATGTTCACTCGTATTTTGGGAGCGATGGCCAAGGACTGGTAGGTGCTAACTGAAGCAGCAGGAGCAACAAGCGCTGGCACCCACAGAAGCACCCACAGAAGCACCCACAGAAGCACCGGATTTATGCCACGTCCCCCCATTGCCACACATTGTGCCCAGCACAGATCCCGAGGCACAGCTCGGGAGCTGCTTAAAGTGGAGGCAGTTATATCACGTCTGATAAACCTTCTTAATGACATTATTTTTAAATCAAGAGCAATCCATCMATAATACTTAATTCCTTTGCTTCTCTCCAAGTCTATCTCAGGACTGCGTTCCACCAGCTATTATTTTTTATCATTGCTAGATTATTTTCAGGCTTTATTTGAGTTCTGTTACTATTTTACCTATTACAGGCGAATTCCCAAGGTGAGTTTGGAAGGAGGGGCCCCACGGGAGCGGCCAGCGCCGTGTTACGGGCGCCCTTGGCGCGCAGCCCACACCACAGGCGGGTTGTGCTACACAGGAGGGCGCAGTGCTGCAGCCTTCGCCAGCTTWGGGTTTCAACCCACGCCGGGGCTGCCCCAGGAAGCGCCGCTCTGCGCGTGCCCCGCTCGGTGCCGCGCAGCCCTCCCGGCGCCAGCGCGGCCTGGGGAAACGCTATGGAGAAAAGGTAGCAAGAAAGGGAGCGCCCCGGCGGGGTGGCAGCCTGCTGCGCGTCGGCATGCGCGCCTGGGCACCGCGGGCGCTGACGGCGCTGTGCGTCCTGCGGCACCTGGCAGGTAGGGYCCGCGCTCGCGCCCGGCTGCGGGCGCCGCGGCTCCGAGCGGCACCCGGCTTCCCGGGCGGGGAAAGGCTCCGCGAAGGAAGGGACCTTGAAACCCGGCTGTAGGACGTGTCTCGCCCAAGGCTGCGGGTTTGCATGCTTGTCCGTCATAAGCAAGGGGTGCTGGACGGAAGGAGCAGGCTGCACGCAGCAAACGTCCTTGTTTCCAACATCTATTTCTAGTCTTCAATGAATGAGCTGCTACGTGCCCAGTTTTGAAGCCAGCTGGGTCAAAAATAGGTGGTATCTCCCCAAAGCAAAGCCTCATCGTTCACATAATTTTACCTTTCAATCAGGTCACGCTCATCTTCCCACTCCTCAAAACGTTACRCTGTTATCGAAGGGCTTTGATATGATCTTGACGTGGATGCCAGGAGAAGGATCCCCGCCGGACGTGACCTACACGGTGAGATGTGAGAGGTAAGTGCTCAGAGTAAGAAAACGGAGCATGGGGCATGATTATTAATTAATGTCACCATCATTAGTGATCTGGCTGCATCCCTTTGCCAAACCCAATCCCCATCTGTCTGGGAAGCCATTTGCTCTCGAAATTGGGGGCAGATTTGGTGCCATCCTACAAAATACCTTCATTTCTTGCTCTAGAGGTTATAACTAAAGTGTTTGTTCATTATTGTATGGGGGGGGTTTCCTCTTTTAGCCAGGATCGCATGGGCAAATGGATAAAGGTCCCTCACTGCAAAAACATTCCTAGCACATCCTGCAACCTGACCTGTGCGCTTCCAGACTTCTTCATTAAATTCCGTGCTCGAGTCAAAGCCACTGTCGGAGGGCTCCAGTCGCCATGGGTGGAATCGGAGTTCAGGGAATACCACCTGGATGGTGAGCGCTTGCAAGTTTACAGGTTCTTAAGGAAAAGTCTTCCTGAAAGCTGTGTTTTTAGCAAGAGCGAGGCTGCMGAGCACTGCGAGCAAGGCGGCTGCTCTCAGCCACCAGATCAGACACGGGGTGATGTGGTCGCCCATGAGGCTTCTGTCCCCCTGCTTTGCAGGATCAGGGACATAGCTCTTCATTTTAAACACAACTGTAGATCCTCATTGTAATGCATTAGCCCTCTTCTGTATTATATATATGATTTGTTTCTCATGGAAATGCACATGGAGAAGACCCGGAGAGGCTTTGCCATTGAGTGTAAAAGATGCCCAGGGGCTCTGTGAAAGGGCAGCAGAAGCTGCACCCCGCACRGGGCCATCAGGGACTAACTGAGCCTGCTTTAAACAAGACACCCCTGGCACTAGGAGAAACAAAAAGGYTGCACTGGGCTGAGGTTTCCCCCAGATTAATACCTTGGGAAGCATCCGTGTTATTTTCCAAACCCCAGGCAAAGGAAAGCGCTGCTTTTGGGGAACTAACACCAAATAAGCACCGTCTGCTCTCCTGCTTCCAGTGGAGCTGGCTCCCCCCGGGCTTGACGTGAGTGTCCGGGAGACCCTCCTTCTTGTGAACGCCTCCTTCCCTCTGGCCACCTGCGTGGAGACTTTCCACTGGATGTACGACTTGGACCTTTGGGAAGCTGGGTCGGAAAAGAAGGTCAGTAGACGTGGCACTTCCCGAGATGCAGCCCTGGGCATCTTGGGGCAAGGAGGGACTGAATTTAGGGGCTGGTTGGTTGAGACTTGTGGGGACAGAGCTGTCCAGGTATTGAAAGGCTCTTCATTCCAACTCCTTGTTCTCCTTGCTTCCAAACAGAAGCGATATGAAAATATTTTTAGAAAGAATACGCTGAAACTCGACACGACTGCGCTCAGCGGCAATTACTGCCTGAGTGCCAGGTCTTCCTTCCAGAGCATTGACTTCAAGCACAGCAAGTTCTCGCAGCCTGTGTGTGTGCTCCTGAACCACAGAGGTACCCAGCAAGAGGGGGGTGAGCCATCAAATCCACGGCATGCCAGAGATTCCCAACAAAATCAGCTTTAGAGCCCAAAAAAAAAAAAAAAAAAAAAAAAAGTTTAAAAGATTGGCTGGGTTTTGTAGTGAAAGGTGCCTGCTTTCTTATTTTCATTAAAAAAATCCAACCCTGAAATACTTCCTAAATATTTCCTAAAAAAATCATGAAAAAAAACATACTCCAGCTCCACTTTCACTCCATTTCTTCAGAATATTCAATTCTGACTTTCACTTCTGACTCTGATTCCCAGGCAATTCCGTTATCCTTCCTTTACGTTGACAAAGTGAGGATCTGGAGCCCATCACCTTGTGAGATTTCTGAAAGAAAAGCTGAATGCAGGAGCCTCAAAGTGGCAAAAAATACAGCGCCTGCTGGGGGTTTTTTGATGGTTTTTGTTTCTTTTTCGCAGCAGCAGGGTGGAAGTTCCCATTTCTGKCCATGACGCCTGCATTTGTCCTCCCCATCCTTCTCACGGGCGTCCTCATCACATGTCTGCTGAAGCAGGGTGCAGGACCATCAAAGACACCTCCTGCTTTGGTATGGCCCGAATTGTGGGATCCCCTCCTAACTGCAGGTCTTGGTGATTTGCAGAGGGGAGCCAGGGAGCAGTGGGGAGAAGTCCCCGCAGAAGAGAGCTCCGTTTCTGGCATGTCCCTTTTCTCTGATTCTCTGATTCGCTTCTCCTTCCCGGCAGGATTTCTCCCATTTCACTGGAGCTGCTGGAACAGCCTTTCAGTGCGAGCTCAGCGAGGAGGAGCTCCCTGGGGAGCTGATCTGCACGGAGAGGCCAGTATCCCAAGGGAGCACCACCAGAACCAGGGCAAGGAGCAACCTGCCATGGAGGGTTTCTTTCCTCTCATCATCATCAGAAGAGGAGGAGGAGGAAGAGGAGGGAGACAGTGGTACTTTCATCCACTACACTAAAATGTCCAAGTTCCCAAGGAAAAGTCCCAAGCAGCAGCTGTCCAGAACAGCTCAGGGGGAAAGCAGCTCGGACTCTGGATCTGGAGGACYCTGTGTAGACGACAGATCTGTGCTTGACCTAACGTCCTTGGGTTTCTCTTTCCTTCCAACGGGAAAGGAGGAGGTGTACACCGCGGGATGCCAAGGAAGCGCAAACACCTCCCTCTTCTGCAGGCCCTCTTTGGGAAGYGTGTGCCTCGACGACGGGAGCCATCCAGGTCCCGGGGGACCAGGACACGGTGAYAGAGACAGGGCTGAACACGTGGAAACGAGCCCTCAAACGCTGACGGAGGAACKTGGTGTCAAACCTCAGCCTGCCGAGCAGTTCCCGCATGGGAAGGACCATCACTTCAGTGAGCGGCAGCCGAAGCGAAGCGCTGGCGGGGCCGGCCTGGGCACCAAGGATCCGCAGCTCGGCGAGGGGCCGCACGAGGAGCAGCTCATTTGCCTTCGGACACTGCAGGTGGCGGAGGACGAGGGCATCGCGAGTGACTGTGACAGCGATAGTTTCACGGAAGGGACGCCTCCCGCATGCACTGCGCTGAGCRATGCGGGTGGGACTTCAAATGTGGRGGAAAACTATGGTCAAAAGCTTCAATTGAAAGGTGCTCAGCACATACATTACATGGCGAGGAGCTAGAGCGCAGCAGCCRTTCCCTGGCACGCACAGAAAATGCACTTATTTATGTTTTTTATATAAATAGAGTTATTGGCGCTGAACTTGCCCTGCTCTGAGAGCTGCAGGTATGGAGAGGCAATAMTATTTTGATAGATAACTGTGTGTGTGTTTGTGTGTGTTCCTGTTTGCCCCAAGCGGCACCGGGTCCCCGCAGCTCCCCTGGGAGCATTTCGGAGCACAAGTGCGGGCTTCCCATGTCCCTGCCGGGGTTTGAGGGAGCCCTTCAAACCCAACCGCGCCGAGAGCTCTCTCTTTGCGTCACCTGTGGAGGTTTTCCCTGAAAGACCAGGAGTGTGACCATCTCTCTGAGCTAAACCTCAAAGCACAAGTGCCAAACCACCCAACAGAGAGGACAAGAGAGATGGGGCCTCTCTCCACTGGGTGATATTGACTTTTTCAGTGTATTTTTCGTTTGCATTCTGTGTCTGACAGGAACATAATCTTCTATTTTATTGCAAGGAAAGGACATGAAAAAAAGCAAGGCTTAAGCAAAGAGCAGCAGACTTGCTGCATTCATAGAGGTTTCTGCTGGAGGAGGGAAGGGTATTGCAGAACAAATTAACGCTCACGTTTTCAGAGAATCAGGAGAGCCAGACCAGAAAGATCTCTCGCTTGTCCGCCCAGGGGTCCCCTGGAACACGCTGTCTTGGAATCCTTGCTCTTCATTTAGAAAGATAAAGATCATCTAAATTCAATCACCGCCCATTTTCTTTGGCAATGAAGAACTCCCCACTAGGCTGTTGGTTACAGGAAGCTCCGGAGAGGTTGTGCAAGCTCTGCAGAGTCACTGAGCCACGTCAGGGCTCCGGGCCGGGCGCAGCGCTCCGGCCTGGCCGGGGGTGCCGAGGCAGCCGCTCCTGCCACCGCACCGCGACACGCTGCTTCAGCCACAGCAGTCAGCCTGTAACTCCCTCCTTAACACCCKGTAACGAGTGCCGCGGTGCTCAGCCCAGGGGAGGAACAGACACAACCCGCGGTTATTATATATGGATACGCACAAGGGCCGGGATCAGATCTCCTACATCCTCTGGTCAGCAGGTACTGCTGATATATGTGCTCCTGAGACAGGTTGGGGCTCCACACTGTAGGGGTTGGAATCCAGCTGCTGTGCTTCCAACTTGGAACCAGATGTGGAGAGGCGCTTAGCTTTCACTTCCAACCAAGGAAGGAAAAGGCTCTCCCTCTTCTGAGGAGAGCCCAAAAATGTGCCTGAAGGGCACCTTGAAAACCAAGAAAGCTGAGGGGGAGGAACCCCCTCTGTCTCTTTCTTGTTCAGCTTTACTGCCCCTTTTTACAGTACGTGATTCGCCCCGTAATGTCTTGCAGTATCAGCAGGCACTCATGTAAAGTGCAGGTCTACGGTCGCTCCTGGTGAGAGCAAGAAGGAAAGCAGGGGTGGTGGGTSCTCCCCATCCCCAAAGGCTCCCTCCTTCCCCCCAGCCATGGAGGCCCTGGCGCAGGAGGCACCTTGTGCTCCACCCAGCTGAGACCAGGGCCACCTCCCGGTCACCTGGCTCCCATCCACACTCGGCATGAATAGGAGAGCTTAAAAACCTCAGGGCCGTCTGACTTTCGGTTTAAGGAAAGCGCCAAAGGTGGTTTGTAAGTAAACAGGTGCGTGGTTGGCAGGAGCTATAAAACCAGCTCCATGCACAGCACTGGCCGCAACTTCTAGAGCTTTAACCAGTTCCCCAAGGAGAAGGGCAAGCCCCAAGCTGAGGAATGCAGGGAGGGCTCTCCTCTCTTCCAGCAGGAAGCTGGCGCCCGGCCCCGTCGCAGAAGCCAGGCTTTGCTCGGCCTCGGCGCGCACCTTGGAGCCGCGAGGTGCGTGCCGGCGGCGGGAGCGGCGCCCCGGCGCGCGGCGCCCGCCCGCTCTCACACATGCGCACGCGGCGGCGCGCCGGGAGCGCGGGCGGCTCCGCAGCCTGTTCCTGGGCAACGAAGCCAAGGGCGCCGCGCAAACAACAGCCTGGGTGCTTGGGAGAGGTGATTCACCTGAGCCCGGCAAGAACCGCCCGCTCCCCGTCCCGGCGCGCGTGCCTATTCATGAAGCAACTCCTGCTCCTCTGCGCCGTGTCTTCGGTGGTCGGTAAGTCCTGCCTTCTCTTTTTCCCATCGCTGGTCACGGTGCTGGTTGTTTCTCTTGGCGGCTGTAGCATGAGAGGTGCTTYGGTCACGACGGCTCCAACAAAACCGGGAGAACAAGCCGCGCTCCGAGCTCGTTCGTTCGAGCTCGCTCTGCTCCGTTGAGCTCTCCTTTCAATAGTTTCAAGTGTCATCGTTGCTCTACTGATTGGTAGAGAGAAGTTTCCTCCAAGGTATTTGACAATCYGAATGCTACAGGAAAAAAGAGATATTCATTGACTTCAGGGGGCTGTGGATCGGTTGCCCTGTGTCCTAAACGGAAAGGCATGTRAATACATTAACAACCCTGGTTTTAAAAGCTGCAAACACATAATGTCTTCCTAAAAGGCACTTAATCCTGCCCCCAATGCAGCTAAGTCATTCCTGGGTGAATCAAAGATAAACATGCCCTGTTTCCCAGTGCCAGTTTTGCTGGTCACTCATCTGCCTCTGCCACGGGGCAGTTTGGTTTTCAGCCCTTGCTGCTCTGTTCATGTCTCTGCTCTTACGCGGTAGAGGAAGGTGCCCAAGGRAAATTAAGAAACAGAGGGACTTCCATGCTGTGAAATATCCTGGTTCTTCCCTGCCCACGCTGGCTGCGTTTGTGTCAGCGCTGCTTTGCATAGCCGTGTTTTGGAATGGGAAAGTGGCGGAAGATGGAGATTTCCCGTTTCTGATATGGTCTGGGTACTCTGGGCCCCATTCGGTGCCTGGAAAGGAACAAGGACTGCTGCCTTCTTTTTAGTGACCGCCGAATTTCTGCTGAAATTCTTATCGGGAAGATTTTGATAAGCTCTGTATGGGGAAGGCAACTGTTAAACTACAGCTGAGGTCAGGACAAAACGTGGGCTAGACTCCAGCCCATTTTTGTGTTGCTTCCCTGCCCTAATGCCCTGAAACACAAGGCTGAAAACGGGGTTTATGCCTGTCTGCCCAAATCTCCCCTTGCACAGCCCTGTGGTTTGAGCTGGGGACATTCCAGTGAGCTATRGAAGCAGTTGGAAAGCTTAAGGAGGGGAGGATTCAGGAGCTGGTGGGTTTTAGTCCCCGCTCTACCACAAGTGGCCAATGAGACCTTGTCCAAATCGCCCTCATTTTGCTCCTCAGTTTATCAATATCACAAGCCGAGAGCTGGGAGCAATGTAGAACTAATACATGTTGGAGGAGGGGGCTGTAGTGCTAATTTACACAGCTCATCCCCTCTGCAGGTCACTTCCCGAGTTAGAGGGTTTTACGGATCAGCCTCGAGGAGTGTCGTGCTGCGTCTTCCTCCTTGTAGGGAGCCAGGAGCCTCCAGGAGTTTCTCCAGGGCCCGCTCGGGTCATTTGCTGCAAACAGGTCTTGGCGAAGCTCTGTGCAGACCGGGCACACGTTTTGGGGAGGGAGGTGACTTGGTCCTTGCCCAAGGCCGGCCGTGTCCCCGTGCAGAGGCACCCAGAGCGCAGGGAGCTGCGGGCACCGCGTCTGCCGCCGCCCCGGCACTCCCGGATCAGAGTCCAGGCCGCAGCCCTCGTGACCCTGCTCTCGCCGGGCGGCCTTTCTCCCATAAAACTTGGCACACAAATGGTTCACGGCACTCACAGCTGCAACGATGTGCCCTGATCTCAGCACCCAGCTTCCCCGGCGGGGCAGAAAACAGACAGATAGTGTGTGGGCACGGACGCAGCCTTGGAACCGAGCGCTCCCGTTCGCCTCCCAGCACCTAACTGCTTTGCAGGCAATGTCGTCAGGGAGTCCTGGCCTCTTCTCCTGGCTTTAAAGCTTCCTGCTGTCATTTCTGTGCCCCGAGCCTGGCGCTTGCCGGGCCTGCGCTGCGCCGTTTGTGCTGCCGTCCCGCGCACAGGTCCCGTCCCGCTGCGCCCAGCGCTGCCGCGGCAGCGTCTGCGTCTTCACACGAGCCGCTTTGCTCCCCCAGGGACCGTCGCCGCAGAGAGATCGTCCTGTGTGAAGCATGCAGCGTTTTCCTCCGTGAACTTCGAGAACATCCTCGTATGGGAAACGGAGGCGGATGTCCCTCCCGGCACCGCTTTCGATGTCCAGTACAAACAGTACGTGGCGTTTGCTGCTTTCTGGAGCTCCGCGGCGTGGGCCACGGACCCCGAGCACCCTCCTCTCACACGTTACCTGCCCTTCCCCGATGCAGCGGCCACGCAGATGCCCTCAGACAGCAGGCGGTTACGGGCTCTAACGCAGGGGAAGGTTTTGGGGTTTCCCATCCCAACCACTCACTAACAGCAGCAAGGAATGTGAAAATGAGCCAGGGTCGGCCCCACTGCCCGTGCGGGTCGTTGCGGGGAGGGACTCTGCRGGACCTGCTCTGCTCAACGGCCTCAACGCTCTTGTCTTTCCCCCTCTCAGGTATGGCGAGAAAGCGTGGCTCAACAAGCGCGAGTGCCAGGGCATCACGCGGCCCTCCTGCAACCTCACGCGCGAGACCGACAACGTRGCCGAGCACTTCTACGCCCGCGTGCGGGCCCGCGCGCCCGGCGCCTGCTCCGCGCACTGGGTGCCCTCGCAGCGCTTCGAGCCCCGCACGGAGAGTAAGCGGCGCCCGAGCCCCGYGCGGGGCTGCTCCCGCTGCGCGCCGGGGCCACGGGGACGCCCGCCAACGGGGCCTGCTACCGGGCAAGGAGGCGGGCGACGCTCCCTGAGCTTGAGGCCCAAGTAGGGTTAGAGGGGAAGAGGCCCCGTGTCCCTAAGAGCCTCTTGAGGCTGAAGGGAGGCCGAAGGTCCTCGCAAGAGACGGGCTGGGCAGCCTAGGGAGAGCCACGGACACAAAGATGCTTTTACAGCAAATGCAGAGTCACCCTTTGCGGTTTGCTTTCCTCAGGCTTTGTAGGATTGCTATATGAACATAAGKAGCCCAAAATGATTACTATATGAGCATAAGATCAGCGTGTAAACAATCATGTAAAACATGGAAGGCAATCTTGTTAAGCAGTCACAGCATGCTGCAAAAGCTGCATGCAGTGCGGTCAGGCTGCAGGGTCAGTGTCAGCCTGCAGGTGCAGGAGCATCCCGTGACATTTCAGCCTTAATTCTTAATTCAGCCTTAATTTAACCACTGCCACTCCTCTTTCTTTTTTGCTAGCTCTCATTGGAGCCCCAGAAGTGGAGTATATCCCTAACATACGCTCCATAAAGTTTCTTATACAGCCCCCTTACACCCCGCTGAGAGGTGAGGACAACCGCCAGCTCACCGTCGAGGACATTTACAGCAAATTTGGTGCTGTTAACTATCACTTAACAATATTCAACCAAAGGACACACCAAAAGGTAAAGCTCCACCTCAGGCCACTAACCACTTGGTAAATGTTTGTCTTACACAAATGTTTGGGTAAGATGGAGAAGCCATCGGAGCTGGTTAAAGGCGGGTGTGATTTCTGCTCTGCGAGGGAAACTCGCTGCCTTGGACTTTCGTAGACAGCAGGAACTTCGTGTGTTTTTCGGAGCACTGCGTAGGGAGCAAGAAGTAAAACTGACAGATCCGAGAAAAGAAACTCACTTAAGTAGTACCAGGGAACTGGTATAAAAATAAATGCAACAGTGGAAAGCAAATTATAGACTTAGAATTCATGCATACTAGAATTCATGCTTACTAGAGTCCTGTAATGCRTTATTAACAAATAACATTTTATGATGGATTTTTCAATCTGAGTTGAAGTAATTGCGTAAATTCAATCTTTCTAAAATACAGAACTTGTGTTTACTTTCAATAGTGGACAAAGAATGAGCACAACAAAGAATTCGAAGTTTCCAGTTTGGACCCGGACACCGAGTATAACGGCACGGTGCACATCAGCCTCCTGGAGAGGAGCAGCCAGGTTCGAGTGTTTTGGGTTCGCACTTTAGCAGGTGAGGCTCCTAACTCCGCTCCCCTGCGGTCCCGCTGGCACACAGGCTGCACAAGGGACCAATTTTCAGCTGTTATAAAATAACATCGYTTTTGGTGAAGCAGCACCAACTTTCCTCATTTAAAAGAGTCTGTAATGCCCTTTAGACAATGCCACACATTTTTTCCAGTCCAACTTTCTGAAGCAAYGTTTTCTCCCTGTTTTCTCCTCCTCTAACCAGATACCACCTGGCTTCTCTACTGTTTGGTGGCGCTCGCGTTCGCCGCGGGACTGGTGTTTGCCACAATCAGCTACATGATCTATAAGTACATCAAGCAACGCAGTGCACAGCCCATGGCCTTGGTAAGTGCTCCTGAGCCTTTGTAGCAAATCCTGAAGCGAGCCTTTAAAGTCAGACTTCGCCTTYGCCATTCACGTTTGTCTATCTGCTTTGACAGGATTTCAGAGGGATTTCACCCTTCCAGCCTCTTACGCTGACAGTGGAGCATATTATAAAGCCCATTAATTTATCCAAAGCTGCGCTTTTCGCCCCTGAAGTGCAGTCGCCGCAGCTCAGCCCGCACTGGGACAAGGCGCTGGATGCACAAGGCTCTTCTCGCGCACCAGAACCTCCCTATCAGCAGCAGGCCGAGGTGGCGGCGCTGCCGCCGGCCGCGCGGCCCCCCTGCTCGCCRGGCGCCTGCCCTCCCGCGTACGCCCCGCAAACGGCTCCGCGGAGCGAGCCCGGTGCCACGCGCGGCCCCCCGCTGCCCCTCAGCTACGGCGTGTGCGGGGAGGGCGCCGGGCAGCCCGGCCAGGGGAAGCTGCAGCCAAACCAGGCACCAGCGGAGGTTTATCTTGTTGGCGGAAAGTTCCTACTCCAGAGTCCGGGCATAAACGGGAGCCACTGGAATTACAAAGAGCAGAGGCCAGGGGTGTCCGGATGGGAGTGCGGCGAGGCGGGAGCCTCTGTTCTCTCGCAGGAGAGCCCTGTGCCAACACATCAGCCCGGGGCGGTGCCGAGCACAGCGCATGGACCCCAGCCCTTGGGGGGCTGCTGCAGACACCAGGGCGCAGAACCGCTGCTCTCGCTGCCATCGCTGCCGTCACTGCCATTGCTGCCGTCGCTGCAAGTCCCTGCTCCCGAGGAGGGACCCCTGCCATCTCTCTCCACAGGTTTCCTCCTCTCAGTCTTTACCAGTAACTGCCTCCCTGAAGAGCGCGACACAGAGTGGTGGAGGTCACTGCATTCACTGCCACGTCCCGAAAATAAACTGTGCTTCCCAGAGACTCAAGGAACAGAGCTGCTGACAGCAGCCGAGGAGCTGAACTGCACAGAACTGAGTAACGCTGCGTCCCAGGACGCTGGCTCAGACCAGGACAGTTGCGTCCCCTTCACTATGTGGTTCAAAGATATAGATCTAAAGGTTCAGTGGGAGCACRGTATGGATGAGAACACAGGCGTTTATTAGGAGAACATCGTGATATTAAAATCCAGATGCTATTTACTTGCATGAAATACCCTGCAAACAGCACAATGGGAATAAACCGAGCAGATCATGGATGTGTTATAACCTGGTGCTGAGTGGTCACACTGTTTGTGCTATAGTTATATTATGGACATAGTTATATTTGCTAATATCACTGATGGAAAACTGTAATGCTTTATCTTTCCAGTTATAATAAGTCTTTATTCCTTGGATTTTCTTCAAATAGATTGCAAACTRTATTATTTCAAAACCCTAACTTAGGACTCAGGTTCAAATTCCAAATTCAGTATCCTGAGAATGTGGGAAAGTTCAAAACAGAAGCAACTTCCCCTCTTTATCAGCGCCAAGGTTCCAGGTTCAAAATCTATTCAAAAATTGCATTGTGCTGTACCCATGGACATGATTCTTGCAAGCAAGAGGCTGGTTTCATGGCAGGGATTTTGCCCTTAGGGCCCTCATTGAACATAGCTGTGCTCTGTGCCCCCATGCCGCCCCGCTGGGCGCCTCTTGGGGAGCCGGGGCAGCTCGGCCTGGGCTCCTCGCAGGCAGCACTCGGGTTATTTCACGCTAAGCCGGCTGCTCGGTGGGCAGCGGCCTTCAGGGGCCTTGGTTCAGCCCTGCAATGCTTATACGCRGGGTAGTCTGTGAGGGAGGCTAGGGAATCTTGAGCTTCCTCCTCGCGCYTCGAGGCTGCCGAGCTGCATCTGCATCGGGGAGAATGGCCCCAACTGTAGAGCCCCCCTCTGCTCCTCCCAGTGCTGGAGGGACCCCGGCCGGTGCCATCCGAGCGGCGGCTCCCTCAGCACGGGGCCCACCAAAGGCAGGACACGTGGCACCTCGGGGCCCGGGGGATTGTTATCCGGGACTCAGAGCAGAGCTCAGCCTCTTCATTGGCTTCTGTGGRTTAAAAAGTCTCACGGTGTCAGGTTTAAAGGAGAATGGAAACCACACAGAGGCGGCCGCGACGCTGTGAGGGGGGCCCTGCCCCGTCGGCGCTTTCGCAGAAAAGCTGAACAGAAACAAGAAGGGCTGCCCTCCCCAGGCAGCTGAGGCTACAGCTGGAATTCCAGCTGCTTCGCTGCCGTTTTGCCAATAAACTCTGATATTAGAAGGGAAGTGGTTTCTTCCACCAAGGGAGGGGTGCAGATGAGCCGTGTGAAGGAGCGGGAGCTGCCACACTGTGCTGTAGTTGGCGACAGCAGTTCTGTTAGGACTCATGCTGCCTGGAGATGTCAGTTAGATGCCCTGCTGAGCCCCTCTCTCAAAAAAAGGCAGAAGGAAATAAGAATGGAAGACGTGTTTCTTTTCCTGGGATCATCAGTGATAAAGTGACTGCCCTAAAAAGCAAAGCAAAGTTGTATGAATGTGACACGCAGATCATATACTGCAACATTAAAGGAATAGTCCTAGCGGTGTCCTATGTGATAGGAAAAGGTTCAGCCCCTAGTTCTGGAAGAAATAATAGACAAAGCTCCATGCTCAAGTTGCACGAGGCAGAAAGGTCCAAATGCCAGACGTGATGCCGAAGCTTTATGGAAAAGGACAGGGACGGTGTGAATACACGTGGTCGGGGCAGGAACCCCGAGGGAAGGCTTCCTCGTGGTGGCTTCCTTAGCGGCTCCTCTTGGTGCCACTCAACAGCCCAGGCAGTGTGGAAGGGCTCGTCTCGCGTATCCTGCACCCAGACTTGACCATCGGGAACAGCCCATACAGGAACGTTGCAGTGGCCRAATCTGCAGCAGCCAAGTTGTGGTGTCGCCCAGGAAGAGCCAAGACCCCCGGGGTAACGTTCTGCTCCGGCAGCGCCCCCCGAGGAGAAGCTGCATTTCCAGGCAGTGATGCCGGTTCCTGCATTCGGAGTTGCCTGCAGGCTGCATATCTTGTGTCAACAGCATTCCCAGTGACGCTACTCAGGGAATAATCAAGTGCCACCATGTCACTGTTTTGGCTCTTGTTGTGAAACAGAACCCACTGCACGGTCAGCGTGGGCAGCACAGTGTGGAAGGGAAAGGGGCCTAACGACAGCATTAAGACACTGCAAAATACCCATTTGCTATTTAGCAGCCTTCTCAAATCCTTCTGTTGCCCGGCTGAACAACTACAGCCCTTTGCCAGAGGGGATGATCCTGTCACAGCCCTTAAAACATGTGTCACCTCGGTGTCCTAGGGGAGGGACGGGGGCTGAGGTGTGAAAACCTGGCACCCGCGCGCACGCAGGTGCCGCAAGGTGCCGAGAGGCACACGGAGAAATGCTGAGCTCCCTGCCAGGCCCCTCGGCTCCTTTTAGCCCCGCATCCCTTCGAGAGCCCACGCTGGTAGGAGCTGCCTCTGCCGCCGAGGCTGTGGCCCCGTCCGGGCGCYGTCTGCAGCCGCAGTAGCAGACAGGGATCCCCAAGGACGGGGAGACGCTCCGGGCCAAGCGGAGACTCCCCCCAGCTCATCCATCCCCCCATCCCGCTGCCCGCAGCTTCCTCGCTTTGCGTTATTAAATTGATAGCCGTATTTGCTTCAAAAGTGGAAAGCAGCTACGTTAACTACCTCACGTTAATTACCTCACGCTCCCGCCGCGCTGTTTGTCCTTTCAGACAAACAGCATCATCTCGACCCTGTTTCAAAGGTCTCCAGGTGCAAGCCGTCTGTATACAGCAAGCAATTATTTTATGTTTACCTCAGCTTTTCCAGATAAGGCTTTGATAGCCCTCGATAGTAGACAGCAGAAGCGCGTGGTGCCGAAGGCCGCGCTCATTCTCGGGCGGCGGCGGGCGCTGCGCGGGCCGCTCCAGCTGCCCGGGCCCGTCAGCGGCGGCGGCAGCTGCGGCCCCGCGGGCAGCGCCGCAGCCTTTGTCTCCTTTTGCAGCTAAATTTGGGGAGCTCGCGCTGGGCCGCTGCCCGCCCAGCTCCAGCCACGCTCCCCCTTTGCTTTGGCAGGGAAAGGAGGCCTCTTTGGAGGCAGCCACAGCCCTCTCGCCCAYGGAGCAACTGGAACGCTCCTCGTTCTGGAGACAGAACGAAGCAGTGCCAAGGAGCAGCTCTGAAAGCACACAGGATCCCGATAAACTCCCCCTCCTACCAGCTCTGCGTCACATTGGCCACAGGGCAGAGCTGCTAGCCATGGAGGGCACGATGCAGAGCAGAAGGGCACCAAGATCTGCAGCAGCCGGGGCCGGGGCCGTGCTGCAGCCTAGAGCTGCTCCTCGGTGCGTTTGCAGTGCCCGTACATATCTCCTTCTCTTCAAGTTAAGATGAATGAAGAAGGGCAGMACGATTCGGAAATACTTTGGTAGGAAGAAGGTGACAAAATGAAATTACTCCCGTAGGAGGGGACACTAAGTCGGGACTCTTCTTAAGAGAGAAGAGTTCTCTTATCATAAAGAGTTCAAAAAGGTGCTGGACGCATTAACAGGGACAGTACTATTAGTGACAAAAGCATCGTGTCCCTCAACGGCTACAGGCCGCTGTTGAGAGCCAGGACCCTGGGCTGAAGAGCCCTTCAGCTTGACCCGGGATGGGGATTTTAACCTCCAACATCTCCTTTTTCTCCCCTCTAGCTGCTCCGCGAGGTTCCTTTCTGACTCCTCGTCTAACAGATCTGCGGGCAGCTGGACATGGAATCCCGCCCGCTCCCGTGGCAGCCGCCCTTCATCCTCCTGCGGTGGGGAAGGCAGCACAGCCCGAGCCAGCCGAGCCGCGGAGCCGCCCTTCGCTCCCGAGCTAATTATACACTGACATAATTTGGCAGGAGTTGGCATTCACTAAAGAGATGTCAAAGTAAATGAATCCCACGGCACTATGCGCCCACGGCAGCGATACCTATGGGAGATTCCCGGGGGAGATTAAAACACTCGTAATTCATCACAGGTCCTTTGTGACCCTGAACGAGCAGAGCGAGCTCCAGCGTTGTTCTGCCTGAATTTTGGAGGCACCTGTCTTGCCTTATATCATTTGGCAATGGCATGAATTTGCCCGACCTCTGAGAGGTTGTGCTTTGTTACCACCGCAGCAAGCGGCTCCTCCAGCGTAAGCCCTGCGCGGTCTCCCCGTGCTCGCGGCGGTGACATGGTAGGATGCTATATTTAAGACACCAGGATGGGCACTCAACCATGGGGAACATTCTTTTGGGGACAGTCATTCTTGGTGTCATCCACAGGGAAAAGGAAACGCTCCTTTGTCCTTTATCTTGCCTGAGGACAGGCGCTGGCGCTGTGGGCTTCACGGGTGAGCTCTGTTTTCGGTAAGTAAACTGCTGCTTATATCAAAATGTTGTGACTTTTATCATCAGTTATTGTGTGTGGTCACCATCATGTTATCATATTGTTGTGTATGATCACTTCAATTGCACCTAAGTTACAGATTATGCTTCATGATTATATCTGCTTTAGAGTCATCACTATTTGTCCAGTGTTTTCCTTATGAAAATAGTTTTACTTCTTTTTTTTTTATTTCATTTTGTCCTGTTTTATTGATCTATTTAGAAAAAAAAAATATGCTTGGACTGAAAAGCAAGAGACTACAGTAAGTTTTAGCAGATCAGAACTCTGGATCTTTACTAAAGACTGAGATTATGAAGCCCTGAATATTTATTCAAAATTATCCAGAGGAAATTTGAAAACAGCCTACAGTAAAAAAGAACAGTCACRAATCCTGACCATGGAAATCGTGATCCGATGCCCAGCAGTCATTTTTCAGCTGAAATCTCTCTGAAGAGAGCAGGGTCTAGGAAACCTGAAAGATCTGCTTTGCACCAACATCTGTTTTGGTGTATTTTCTCTCCTGTACTTGGCAACATTTCAGCTATTCAGACAGAAATACTGCCTGGATTCTGTTATCCGGTGTCTTCCAAAGATACTCTCTCCTGAGGAATTATTACTATGATAATTCTATGTATTCTCATACCATTTTGGGGTATTTTGCATTTGGCTCCTTAAATGTGCCTTACGCAGGCTACTCTTMAGCAGTTTACTTACATTAACAGGAAACTATAC